TCAAGATCGGCTATGCCCAGCAGTCCAAGTCTGGCGCAGCCGTAGCGAGCGATCGCCACAGCCCTCTGAAATCTGCTCATTGACTGCTTCAGCAAGAACCACAAGTTGGTGCTTCTCGCCGCCTTCCCTGTCACCAAGGCAGCTTGCTTCACCTCAAAAGAAGACTGCTCTGCTTCATTGAGTTCTTCTGCATACCTATCATCCAGTAGGCACAACCAAGCAGTCAGCTCATCCCTAAACGCAGTCCAGATCCTGATTTCCGCGTGTCTGGTGTTCATCCCTCCGAAGTTGAGTTGAGGGAGCTGAGGAATGTAGGCCAATGTAGGCCTCTGCGCGCCTCGAGCGCAAGCCAGTGTCCACTTCCATCGGCCCACTAGTGTCAACTGTCGTCGTCACTGTTGCTTCTCCACCGCTTCCAGACGTGTTCACAACAGGTCCCGCTACAGGTGCCGCTGCAGCTCTTGCGTTGGTGTTTGCCAATTCGAGTGCTCGCTGGAGCAGAACAGTCATCTGCGCAATCTGAGCAGACTGCTGTCGAATCTGCTCATCTTGCGCCTGCAACATCTGCCAAGCCAGCTCTTGGTTCACACCTGCAGCAGGAGCTAAGGGCAACTGTCCTGCTTGGAACAGCAAAGTTGGTACCATTGGAGACACCTGCTGCTGCGCTGGGGCACTTGCTCCGGCTGCTGTTGTGGCTGTCCGCAGGCTCTTCTTGCTCGGCAAGGTACTGGTGTCTACTCCGGCTGGCCGGTGGTAGGTCGGACTGTTCGCAGCAGGAACAGAGGTTGACCGCCGCCTTCTTCTGCTCTCGCTGCGGGCACGCTCCGCTTCACGGGCTGCTACTGCTGCGGCTGCGCCTGCGTTCAAGGCGCTTTGCCCTCTTGGCGAACGCTGTCTTGGCAGCTCAGAACGACCACGCTGGCAGCCTCTTGTCAAAACACTTCTTGGCTTTTAGCACCAAGAGGCAGAAATGGATCGGAACCAGAGTAAAAGACTGCGACCGTCTTGGTGTGAGGATCGAAAGTCTGTCTAGCAGCTTTGTGTAGGTCTCTAAACGGGCTATGAAGCCGGAGGCATGCCGTTGGCCCCGTTGACAGAGAGTGTCGTTCACAAGCAAGCTCTGAACGCCAGCAGGGTGTTGAGCCGAGATTGCTCACGATCTCGAGATTACGGTGATGCCGCTGTGAGGCGCCGGCCGCTGTGCTGCCCACGAAGAACTGGGTAAAATCGGCTGTAATGGCGTTCAAGGTGCTGGCAGCAGCCACCGCAACGTCCAAGCGGTCGGACCGTTACCAAAGTGTTCTGCAGGTCTTATACGGAGCTCCAGGAGCTGGCAGCCGTGACGCTGTTGACCGTCAGATCGGCAGTGGAGGCGAGTCGATGGCGCGACATCCGACTCCAGGGCTTACGCGGCCGTTAATGGACGTGCTGGTCAAGTCCCAAACACGACTGTCAGCGATCCCCTCAACTGTGTAGCCATCAGCTTCATGCAGTCGATGGCACACAGTAAGAGTACGCCTGCACATTCCGCTGCTTTTGTGTTCTGTGATTGGCCCTGGGTCTCTTCCCCTTGCCAACGTGACAAGACCTCATGGCACTTTGCAGCAAAATAAACCTGGGTCATCTTGCCAACGTGACAAGACTTCATTGCGCTTTGGAGCAAGATGAAGGTTGAAGTCCGCTTGCTTCTTGTCTGCGTAAGAATTCCTGGAATTTTCACTCGTCCTAAGCACCATCCTAGCGGATCGGTGAGCTTCTGATCCATCGCATGGTGAAAGAGTTACAAATCCAGATTTTATGACAAAGTGATGACTTGCACGACAGTCTCACGTTGTCTTTCCGACAGTCCTATGTCTTCGCCTCTTGGTGTGCACTGTAAATGTAGCAAGCCTACTTGCTATACTGTCGTCATTGGCTCAAGAAAATGCGTGTCAGTGTTCTGGCTGCACAGCCTGTAAACATACCATCCTGTAGGATGGGAGGACTGCATGGTTCGAGTCGTCCGAGAAGAGCAATTCTTCGTTGTGCGGGCGATTTTTGTATCCTTCTCAACGGTAGGCTCGCTGTTGACAGATACTGTCGCTGTGTACCAATTGCAGGCTACTCAGCTCGACAGAAAAAGAAGTTTCGATCCGCTTTGCGACCTCACTGGTGATGGATGCGATGTGCATCATCACCATGACATGCACATACTTACTGTGTGTGAAGATGTGTTGCTGCGGAAGGCTTGTCTGGCTCAAGGCCAGCCAGTTCGATTATGATTGGACATGGGCGACAAACCCATTCAGCCAAGCGGGTACCTGCATACCTTGTAACCCGGCATGAGCCCCACGCCCAATGTGCAGGATCCGAAGTCAACAGGTAACAGCATCTAAAGGAAGAGTCTGGTTTCAGCTCAAGAACCTCAAGTCTCAAGCAGCCTCAAGATCAGCCTGCAATCCTGAGCGCGCGGTGTGGCAACCCGTGATGTAGTGGCCGGCATGGAGACGCACCTTGGTTGACAATCCCCATAAACCCTGCCTCTAAAGCTAAACCTAAACCCTAATCCCTAAACCCTAAACCTTGCAAGGGGGTCAGAACCTTACCAATTACTTTTGCACTACTTACAAATTCTGCTCAGGTGGTTCAAGCTTAACTTTGTGCCGTCTTCGAAACGCCATAGAGCTCGATTCTTAAAAGGCTATTTGAGTGCGTTCAAGGTGCTGCGCGGTGCATCTCAGAGTCTCAGGCGGCTCAAAGGGAGCCTCTACAGCGGAGCAGATTCAGAAAACCTCCTTTTGCACAGCATCTGTTGAGAAAGATTCCTAAATCCTAAGCGTTAAGCACTAAACCTTAAGCTGTAGTTACGTGGTAACTCTGGAGTTCGTTGAACGCCCTTGCGCCCAAGCAACTTCTGGCATTGAGCCCTTAGCCCGACTTACACCCTAAACCCTAAACCCTAAACCCTAAACCCTAAACCCTAAACCCTACAACCATCGCCCGTGAAGAAGCGCGCAGCTTAGACTTCGTCGTTTCAGCTTCTTAGTTCAGCCAGTAAAGAAAGTCCCCAGAGACTCCAATATCCTTTAATTAAGGAATATACCTTAAATCATATTAAGGATCCTACTATAACTTAAGGAATTTTCCGTAATTAAGGGGTATTGGAGTCTCTGGGTCTTTCCTTTTGGGTTCAGGGCTTGGGGTTATAAAGAGACGTGACGCCGAATCCAAGCCACTTTGAGACACGACTGGGCAGCACCGCCATCAACCCACTAGTCCTCCAGACTAGCAGCCTCCCCTAAACCCTAAACCCAGGTCAGGGTTCAGGTTTTCGGGCCTGCAGCTTTGGGTTTAGGGTTTTCGAGGGGCCTTCACAATTATGAGAGGTCTTCGGGGGATATTGTAGTTCAGTATACAAGGACTATGAAGAGCCTTAAACCCTGAACCCCGAACCCTAAACCCTAAACCCGGAACCCTAAACATAAAACCCTAAGCCTTAAACCCTGAACCCCGAACCCCAAAGCCGAAGCGCCCTTTTAAGCCCCAAATCCAAGGCCAGCCTTGGGTGCTGGCACCGTCCGGCTCCCCAGTGGCTTAGGACTTCTGTTTGGGGTTTAGGGTTTTGGGTTTAGGGTTTAGGGGTTTCGGGCTTAGGGGTTCAGGGTTTAGGTTTTAGGGTTTAGGGTTTGGGGTTCAGGGTTTAGGGTTTCTCGGGGCTTCGGCAAAGTAAGAGGTATGGAAGGTTTTAGTGTTTATCCGCGCAATTCTAGTATTGGCTTGTGGACTGGGGATGAGGTTGTGGGGCTTTGGTCGTCTCGGGTTTAGGTTTGGGGTTCAGCCCTAACCTCATGTACTTCTTGGCTTCTTTCCAGGGCTTTTGGGCTGGCGCTGACGATTTTCTCGCTCCGTTTTTTCAAGCTGGCAGAGAGGTTTTGTGTGCCGGGGCGTTTGAGCGCTCGGCGGCTACGCGATGTCTCTTGTTGACATCGGCCTGATGGCTCTCAAAGTCTCTGCGGGCACCAGCGCAAGGTACTCTCAATACCCCAAGCATCAAGACCCCGACAGCTTTACGGCGCACTCTTTCCCATTGGTGGCTGTAGCGTGTTGGGAAGAATCTTTAGGGTTTGGGGGTTCAGGGATTAGGACGACAAAGCTTTCATGGCTACCAACCTGCTAGAAACCCTTAAACCCTAAACCCTAAACCCGAGCTTCAAAGCCCAAGGTGCAGGCCGACTTCCGGTTAACCGTCGTCGAGGCGAACAACGTCCCCGCATGGCCGCGGCCTGGGGAAGCCTTGCGAAACGAACAGCAGGGTTTCTCGGTTTCACGGTTTTCGGTGTGGAGTAGCCTCAGCAACAACAACAACAACACCCTAAACCCTAAACCCTAAACCCTAAACCCTAAACCCTAAACCCTAAACCCTAAACCGAACAGTGCGCTTGTCAACCCCGTCTAGTCCTCCAGGGGATCGGGCGGTTGGGACTCCGATCGCCCAAAACCAACTCTCTTGAAGTCCCCAGCTCATCGGCCAGGGCCTGAAACCCTAAACCCTAAACCCTAAACCCTAAACCCTAAACCCTGAAACCCTAAGGCATCCTAAAGCATCCTAAAGCCTAGACCCGACATGAAGTCCTCAAACACTTGCTGAATTCAGGGTTTTCGAGAGAGCTTCGGACTTGTCACACTGCCCAAGATAGTTTGGGAACCCAAAAAGACATGAATTTAGGGAGAGCTACGCGCATTTAAGCGTTTAGGTTTGTCGGGGCTAAGCCTCTAGGCTGGGGCCCTGGCTGTAGAGCTCCTGAACTCCGAGCCTTCGGCAGCTTTCTGTGTGGCGCGGCTTTCAAAACCCGACATGGGCTTGAGCCGCCGCATATGACGAAGTTTAAAGCACAAGGTAGGGGAGAAATCGAAGAGGATCAGAACAGGTTTACAGTAAGGACGACGACAGCGGCTGTGCCCAAACGATAAGCAGGTTGCAAGAACGAAATGGGAGTTTCCGAAAATTAGGGGTACCTTATTTTGGGGCCCTTATTATAAGCATCCTATTATTTGGGGTACTATATTCGGGTCCCCTATTTTCGGAAACCCCCAAATGAGACGACCATCGACAGCGATGGCGACTCGGCCGCCGACGACGATGCCGGCCCCACGGACGACCAGCACCACTACTACTCCTGCTGCTGCTGCCCTAAACCCTAAACCCTAAACCCTAAACCCTAAACCCTAAACTGCAATAAGAGGAACGGGCGTGGTGCGAGTAGAGCTGGGTAGCGGAGCTCCTGGGATCAGGTGCCGGACGGTGGTTGTCTCCTGGAAGAAAGGGATCAAGGCGCCCCGGGCACTGCACTCTTCCCAGAGACTCCAATATCCCTTAATTAAGGAATATACCTTAAATCATATTAAGGATCCTACTATAATTTAAGGAATATTCCGTAATTAAGGGGTATTGGAGTCTCTGGGTTTGCTTAGGGTCTGATGGATGGAAGTGTTGTGGGTAGGAAAGAGTCCTTAGGGTTTAGAGGTTTAGGTGTTTAGGGGTTTAGGGTTTAGGGGTTTAGGGGTTTAGGGGTTTAGGGGTTTAGGGTTTGGGGTTTAGGGTTTAGGGGTCGGAGCTTCGGTAGTGGATTTTACCGGTGCGTGAGACCCTGCTTCCTTTCTCAAGC